AGTATAAAAAATAGTATTATATAAATTTTTATCTATAGTTATAATTTAGAAAATTTATTTTTTAAATTATCTAATTATATCTAATATAATAACTATTAATTATAACTGGTAATAACTCTATATATAAAATAAATTGAAAGAAATATAATAAATACTATAAAATTATTAATAATTAATTATAGATTAATTTATAATTATTAATCTAACTATTATAATCTAATCTATCCTGGCTTACAGCTAACCGCGGTTAAGAGATTAATTAATTTTAATCTAATCTAATCGGTGTCAGTTAAGGAATTTTATACCTTAATCTAACCGAGGCCGATTAGGTTAGATTATGGCTAGGTTACAGTGGTTAGGTTATGCCACTCTAGTCTATAATATATTATATATATTAAGATCGCGTAGAGAATTTAGACTTTTAAGTAATTTATTCGATTCTATTTTATATATAACTTTTCTAATGATTTAAATATATAATAATTTCTCTATACTATTTATTCTAAAATCTATTAGTTTACTAAACTCTTGAGTCTTGACTGTATAGTATTAATTAGACTATATATTAATAGAAAAAGTAACTGTATAGATCATTTTACGAAACCGCTAGTTAAAACTATATTTAAATGCTTTATTAATATTCTGAATCCGATAGATATCAGTTATAACTTATAAGAAACTTTATTTAGATCTTATATTTTGGTTTAAAAAAAAGAAAATATTAATAAGGGCTTCTGTCTAGTCTTAAGGCCGGAATCGGTTTTCCTGGGGCCGGTAAGTGGGCCTATAACACTGAGGAAGTGGAAGATAGGCAGATCAGATAGTTCTAATAAGAATACAAGGATGACTATGAAATGGGCTTCTTCCACCCACTAAGAAAACACATATTTTGAGTTCACCAGCACCTGCAACCACACTGCCATCATCATCTGCGCAAAGAGAGACCGTGTAGACATTCTTATTTTTATCAGCATTTGCCATGATGGCAAAACTCCACTCAACCTAGAGTAATTCACATGTGTAGTTCATGAATTAAAATTCTTGGGGGATTTCGAACATGGCACGGAAACCTCCTCGTCCAACATGAGTCACTCCGACTTGGATGACGCGTGTGAACTAGAGCACTTTCCTAGCAGGGATATAAAAGTTCGTGGAGCCGTCAGTTACGGACATATCTCGGTGGAGGCCCAGATTTGGCTGAGTAAGTAATTCCTGTATAACTACAGAGTAGTATCGCCACATTTGTCATAGATGAAGGCAAGACCCGAGAAAAGCCGCTTGTGGTGATTGGTGCCCACAGCGGCCCCACACACATTTACTACTCTTTTTGGAAAGAAATGCCCCACTAGGGCTGGAGTATGTCGTGCATTTCTCGACCTCATTATCCGGTTCTTCAAGTCAATGCTGGAGATGAGGTATCGCCAGAGGCTTATAAATACTACTCATCCCCTTCTGGATCTGTTCAATCTTCATTCAAGCAAGTATTTTATAAAAGCACTTCTAATCTCATCAATTGGTCCCAACTTCAGAAGTCTTCTTGAACCCTCCGATTACCATGTCATCCACCAGAGCAGCTCAAGTGGAAGAATACGGCTGGACAGCGGTGTCCTGCAACCCTCAGCAGCGTGCTGTTACAAGGCCACCTAACAAGGCTTCCGTTCCTCAGTTGGTCAAAGATACACCTCTTCCTAATACTACTCTCGTCAAAGATTCCATAGAATATGTGAAGGCAGAGCTACCAGCCCACACATTCAACCACAGTATGCGTGTCTACTATTACGGTACGAATGTCACGTCCTCAAAGATCGTATATAGCTCCCCACCTAACTATAGCGTCAGGCCTTGCAATCGCCAGACAACACTTCCCAGAATGGAAATTCAGCGACGAAACCTGGCTGCTCACCTGCCTCTTCCACGACATTGGCACCATCGACAAGTACACACAGGACGTCTTCATGTCCTTCGACATCTATGGTGGAATTGTCGCTTTGAACGTCCTCAAGGAGAAAGGTGCCCCGGCACCCCAAGCGGAGAGTGTGGCAGAAGCCGTCATCCGTCATCAGGATCCGGTTAAGGTTGGGACTATTCATTCTATCGGCTTGCTTATCCAGCTTGCTACGCAGTTTGGTGAGTCTGTCCTTCGACTATAAAACACGACGAAGCCTTGTACGTTGCTAACGGTCCATTAGACAATCTTGGCGCGCACAAGGAGTATATCCATATGGATACTGTGGAAGATGTGAATCAGCATTATCCACGTCGTCAGTGGTCGAAGTGCTTCTCGAGTAAGCTGAGAGAGGAAATTGGCTTGAAGCCTTGGTGTCATACTACTGCTGAAGGAGAGGGCTTTCCCGTTGGGATCGAGAACAACACTTTGATGGAGCCTTATGATGGACGGTTCTGAGTGGAATTTAATCATAGATGTCGTGGAACATCTATGCAGGTCGATTCACAGACCATAACGCCGCTATAAATTCTGAGATGGATTAATTTATTTCCCTTCCATCCATGTTGTAATAGTATGTATGGTCACAGCAGCACAGACCTAAGTAATCGAGGACATCGCCTTCCAATCGAATTGAAACGCAGCGTGGAAATTTCTATTGGCCATTTAAGCTCAGTCTCATAGCGTTGGCTTCTTTGCGGCCTACCGACGATGGTTCATAGCAGCCCTGATGTTCAGGAGTTGTGATATGATTATGATAATGATTTTGGATCCTGGGACATAAACAATTTGTAGTTCTGGAAGAGTCAACCCAGGTCTAAGTCATAGTGAGACCCTTCTGTAGTCACTTCCATCAGACGTTATCGGTTCTGCTTTCTCTATCCCCGGTTTAGCTTAGCTTCCTCAAGTCTCTAACAGCATGGTTACCTTGATTTAACAAGCCAGGTTATTTTTTGATTTGTCCCAAGCTGGTGATAACTAGCTGATACTGCTCGGGATATGATGTAGAGCTTCCTAAATCCATGGTTTGCACTATTGGCTCTCGAATTAATTTGAATAAAGAGTATATAAAACCACACGAACCAATACCATTGAGTTGTCACGACTACACTAGCTATACCTATTAATGAAATGACTAGTTAGGCAAAAGCGAAAGTTCATTAAGTAACTGACACTTCAGTCCATTGGATTGCAGTCAATCTCTCCATGAATGCCCCAGTCTGCTGGGTTTTAGTATCAATCAGCCCCTTCGATATATAAACCGGAAATGCCTTGGTACATTGCCTTTTCTTGTCTGGTTAAGGTCGTTGTGAAAGATTTTGCGAGTCGTTTTAGTATAGTCCCGCAGCTTCTCTAGGCTTTTGAAGAGCTATACTTCACACTATCTCCCACAGCGAGCCCAATTAATCAGATTGATAATATTCATATGGAGTCCTCGCACAGCCTATGAATCTATGTTAAAATGATCCCATATCAGAAAAATAGAAAATATACTTATCTTCTGGTATTGCTGACAGGTCCTTGTTAGAGGTGCAATTTTCACAGCGCGACAAAGTGAATGCCAGGCATCAATATTGTCATCTCTTTTAAACAAAAGAGCTAGCTCCTTGGTAAGAGCTTCCTAGAATTGGCCCTTAGGCCCAAGTAGAATTATTATCCCCTATACAACAACCTTGAAGCCTCTGCGGGTAAGAATGCGATTCAGTGGGTGTTAAGTGAGGGCTATATGTGAACCCAGGGAATGATTGAAAGAAGGTATTCAGAAGTATTCTAGCCGGGTTCTGATGTACAGGAGAGGCCTCTCAAGTGCTGTTCAAGAAGACCCCTACGGCTGAATAACCGATTGATACACATCGTCTTGCCTCCTTAGCTTCAGTTACCCCGCCTTGGTCGAAAGCAGCTAACCCACATTAGCAATGAGATCCTATATCAGATTATAATCAATTTTCTTTTCTTTTCTTCTCTTTTGTTTTGTCTCTTTGTTATTTTTAATTTATGAAATCACAAACAGATAGCAATATAGAATAATGACTAGATGTCTAAGCAAATGAATGTGAGGGCAAAATGCTAGCTCGCCGTCCTTCCCAGCTTCTCTTCCCTTAATATGAGACAAACCCAACTTCGGATGTCTCCTATAAAATGCATTCCACCATCAATTGTTGCTATCTACATGTCAAAGTTAGGTCCCATTGGACCATTAAATCAACAGTATCAACGTTATTGTGCTACTTAGTAATACCAGCCTTTATCGGAGCTGTTAACGATTTCCAATTTCAGCAGCCTGCATGTTCTTCATTGGGGACCGTGCTACGACGGCCCGACACTGTGCATTAGGCATTAGTGGCACTTGCCCATTCTGGTTGTCTGCAGCCATTCCAATGAGCTGTTGGGCTACTTGATGCTGTCTAGCTCAAGAGCTCGAATGTAGTGGTGGGTGGCCTAAACGCAGGACTGCAGTCACAAGACGTAATCGGCTGCATCGGCGTGAGACACATATCAATGACAAGGGCCTGTTACTCGGATTGTTTGTCGAAGGTCATTCTTTAAACACGACCGGCCGGCACTCTACATGAGTGACAGCACGTTCACCGCTGAACTTGAAGCATAGGAGTTGTGGTCTACTCCTTCCATGATGGCACAGCATAGCTTGCATCAACCACTTTCAACGATAGGGGACTCGCGGTATCACATGGATACATCTGCTTATGTCCGGAATGCAACCCCCTATCTTGATCTTCAAGCGACCGCTCACTCCACTCATTGCGATGTCGAGATCCACAGATCTATCAATGCTATAATTCAATACCTACTACGTGAAGTGCCAGAGTATCGGCGACTATCTGAACTGAGGGAAAAGGTCAGTATGGCTTGCTCGCTTTCAAGGACGGCATGCTAATTACCTTTATAGGGCTGGCAAAATCCAAAGGGTGACCGTTTTTTCGAAAAACAACGCCAGACTGCCGATCACGCGGATGAGAAGACAGCCAAACATTTCTATAATATGATGAAAACGATAGGTCACGATATGAATCAACTTACTGATGCCTTCCAAATTAAAAGTGCTGGCCCGGGTCCGCACTATATCCTTGATATGTGCATGGCACCAGGAGGGTTCCTTGAAACGGCCTTAATGGTCAATCCCACAGCCCGAGCTACGGGTTTTAGTTTACCGAGACGTGAGGGAGGACATGATGTCCGTTTACAGAAAACGGATAACGTATCCCTGAGATTTCTTGATATTACTTTGTTGGCTGCGGATATGGGGAGGGTTGAAATCCCGAATGACCACCCAGACGCTGAAAGGTTTTTACCTCGTCAATTCGCACCAGGGCAGGTCTTTGATGTGGTCATATGTGACGGTCAGGTGCTTAGATGTCACGATAGAGCCGCCTACCGTGAGCATCGAGAAGCGACCAGGCTGACTTTGACCCAGCTGGCACTAGGGCTGGAACATGTTAAGCCAGGAGGAACCCTGATCGTTCTTCTGCACAAAGTGGAAGCTCTTGATACTGTGCAACTGCTATATACCTTCGCATCATTTTCATCCATACAACTGTACAAACATGATAGGTTCCATGCCAAACGGTCTTCATTCTACCTGATTGCAACCAACATTCGCAGTGACGGTCTAGAGGCAGCCACGGCTGTGAAAGAGTGGAAGAGACTCTGGGATATTGCAACTTTCGGGACAGATGATATGTATCATCAGACACGTCATCGGTGTGGTCCAGATACTGATCTCATTCTGGAGGACTTTGGCCCTAGATTAGCCATGATGGGTAAACATGTTTGGGAAATTCAGGCAAAGGCGTTAGCGAGTGCCCCGTTTCTAAAATAGAACACATATATATCAGAGCGGGCTATATGTATTACAGCTCTTTGCTAATACAAATGGAAAATTGGCATTCAGAATGCCTTACTTGAGTGTGAAGCCGCTACAACGTTAGAGATTACGGACCCTTAGCAAGTTTGTGCATTGAGTCATACCTGGGCCGCCCTATCTTCTATAAGATGGGACTTTGGTGTCAATGGGGTTCTTTATGATATATGTTGCACTGTGATGGACACATAATGACAACCACTAAAAGCAAGAAAAATAGGGGCTACTTCTAGATATGGAGGATAAATATCATTACACAAATCATAACTGCCACAGATTTCGAATACACTTGTTGTAAGAGTCCTGCGGGCCAACGATTCGCATGTAACACAATATTGCGGGTTAAAAGGTTAAGGAGTGCTGGTATTCAGCACCCTGTATCGCACACTAGGCAACCTGGTACAGAGATAGGGAGTCAATACCCTGTGAACAAAAGCGGGCAGCTTGAAGATAGGCAGGGGATTAGTTGTCCATATTGTGTTGCTTAAGAGGCCAGGCTTAAGAGCTTGTCCGGTTCGTCATCCAATAATTCCACCTGCCAGTCAGGCGTCGGCTCGACCCACTGTTCACCTGAACTCAATCGAAAGCACAGCACAGTGATCAGGCAAGCTTTACCACGGTTTGAATTAGGGATAACTATGGTACTGTTATTTAACTGGAGCATAGTCTTATTACACCTGCCAGCAATACATCTTGGCCCCACAACCTTACTACTATGTACTCTCGGGTCAGTGGGCTGACTTTGTTAAACAGAGCTCTTCATCATATCTGTGATTGTTGACCTGCGGCCGCTGTCGACCTCGCTTCGGTTTTCCAACGTCGGTAACTTAACTTTAGCTGTTTAACCAATGAGACGAGTTAATCTGAGCGTGCGATAGAGAAATGCGTCATTGCTATTGCCTATCATCGAACAGCCCGGAATCTAGACTCCTCTAGATGCGGTAAAACACTCTCAGCTTAACTGTACGTAAGTTAGAACAGTCTCGCCAAAAACGACAAATTATATATCAGTGTACTCAATTGCGCCCATCCATTCCCATTGTACAAGCACTTATACCAAAGCCGCCTGTTATTATACCTCTTTACAATCTACCAAAATGCCAACCGGATCCTGCCTCTGCGGAAAGGTCAAATACGCGTACGATGCGGAACCCCTCTCAAAGGTACTTATAACCCCCTATGCCCTTACTACAGTGACGGCCTACTAGGGACGCAAAGACAACAAGGCTCACCCGATACATATAGGCCGTCTGCCACTGCCTAACCTGCCGCAAGCTTAGCAGTGGCAGCTCAACGAATCTACTGGTTCCCGGAAATCATTTTCGAGTCACATCTGGTTCCCCCAAAGTTTATTCAATGACCCATGAGAGCGGCATGAACTTGAAGACACATTTCTGCGAGAACTGTGGAAGCTTGCTATACAAGACGGGGGATCGTGAGGGATTTGAAGGGGCGGTCATTGTTTTGGCTGGAACTTTGGATGATGCGGAGGAATTCGAGAAGGCCAAACCTGAGGCGGAGTTTTTTGTTAAGCATCGGGCGGGATGGTGGCCGAATTTGAGTTTTGCGACGCAGTTGAAGGAGTTTGATTAGGATTGACGGCAGCGTTTGCTATTGAATTCGGTCCGTTTGGTTTTGTTCTTTACTTCTTGTCGGAATATGGGTCTTTTTAATGTGTGTGGAGGGGGTCTATTTTCTTGTTGGTACTTGGTGTACGCCATGGTCTATTTCACTTTGTGACTGTGGGTAATGGATATAATGAAGTTTGACTGTATTGAAGTTTGCTGGGTATGTTAGCTGTGTGTCAGCTTGACCGAAACAGCTCTCAGCCAAGTAAAGCCCACAAACTAAGCTGTATCATGTTTAATGCAGGAAGAGGCTCCACGGCAGTGGTTCCCTACCTTTCCTGGCCAATATTCAGGAATACTGAGTGCTAGCAGCGTACCCAATATGCCCTTGCCAGAATCTGACTATTCAGCCCTGTTTTCACAAGGCGTACCAGAGAGACACGTTTTGGGACATGGGTAGATAGCCTCCTTTTGCAATGTGGTTGTGGAGGCGTGCCTCAGACGACTTGGTCTGCTGTGCGTTGATCTGTATTAGGTCCATGCGCTAGATAAGGTCAACTCCCATCGAGGGGCAGTCGAGGTGATGCTCCACCCTGGCGGGGGACAGTCTTGGCTGAAGGTACAAAATTCAGACATAACGTGGCATCGCCCTGTTGCAAGTAGTAACAACGGTAGACAACCATAGATCTCGCCAGTTCCTCAAGCGCGTTTTTGTTTCCAACCACGTCATACTATAACTGTGGCTTATGTGGCAAAGGCTCGTATTCTCGCCAACATGATGAACGTGAGTGCCCCGTGACGATCGACGGTCGTCCATGGATGCTCCGCCGCTAGTCCGTAATAGGAAAGCTCGTATTCCTTCCCTCCAATAAGGCTCCGCCAGAAGGGAAGCTTAATCTAAGCGAGTACGACGAGGGCGCAGCGTTGACAGAGCCATCTATATATATAAACAAGGTCAGAGAGAACAGATATTGATGAGTGATTCTGCTATCATCTACATCTACTTTCTAGATATCTTAGCTTACAAGCAAATTAATACTATAACCCCTCTCACTCTCAGAAGTCCAGACATGGATTCCAAGCTCGAATCCAAAGACTATGCAACCAGCATCCACAGCGTTGCTTCGTCCACCAGTACACTACTGGACACTTCAAAGGCCAACTTCCTCGAAGGCAGGCGATTCCATATCGAAGCAAAGGGTATCCGTGCAATTCGCCCACCCATGCCCATGAGACAGAATGAAATCCCTATTTACACCGCCGACGGTACCTTAGCATATACAGCCACCAAAGACAAGGCCCTCTCGAGTCATACCATTCTTGCATCACCCAAACACGGAGATCTCTTCTCCATTGACTTTAGGCCAGGTTGCTCTCCCTGGATCCGCTTTTTACCCTCCGTAGAGGGGGACGTCATTCCGCCCATTGCCTTGCAGGGAAAGCTGACCACCCGCACCATGTCATTTACGCCTCCAGAAGGGGGATGCAAATGGGAATGGAAGTACTCAACCATCGCCTCTCCAGATGGAGCTAAGCTCAAGGCCTTGTGTTTGGAGAAGATTGATGAGGCGGAATGTGCAAAAGTTACACAGATCGCCTATCTACTCCGGGGTCCAGATGCACGTGCGACAGGTTCGTCTTGTTGTTCTGCTGGAAATGGTGGTCAACTGGTCATTAGTCTTGATGTCGACTTGAGCATGGTCGAGGAGGCTCTAATTATCGCCACTTGTTTAGTCATGTTACGTAGGGAAAGAGATCGTCGCAGGTTTATTCAGGCTATGGTTATTGGGGGTATGGGCAGCTAAAATAGCTTTGGTTTTACTGTACAACTGGCGACTGGCACTTATATCCCGTAATTAGATGTTTTTATGAGGTTTATTTGGAGCTTTCATGAATCTTTCATTTACCGTTTATCCTATGCAGAAGGGGGGGGATGGGAATGACGAAAAGAAAACCAATTAGACCCTTTCATGGAAAGTATACACGACACACTCCAGTAAGCCCGAAAATAAAGCCTTGTATTTCAACTTAAGATAAACATCGCCATCAAACCATGTCTTATTTACCTGCCTCATCCTTCCAATCCATAGTCATCCTGCATCTACATCAGACCCAGCTGATCCGCGCACCAAGTATCCAGCTCAATGACTCCACTGTCTTAAATATTAGCATTGCAACCAAGGCATGGGAACGACACGAACTTGCCCTTATCTGGTTCACGTGGTGTAGAGAACAACCACTGTCTGACGAGTGATTATTGTTGAGTCGCTCCCGCTCCAGGGCTAGCCAGTATTCCCTATTATTTGCTCATTAGCCAGCTCAACATGATAGTATTTAGACTGTCTTACCCGCTCTGTAATTGGGTTTCCAGATGTCAAACCGTCCTGATCACTCTCCTATTAGAATTTGTGTTGGATATGTACCACTAAGCTTTCTCTCTCACCGAATCACCAAGAACAAGCCCCTGTTCGTTCATCTATCAGTAATCTATTCAATGGGATATGGGGATCATGTGGCCTCACCCGCTCAGCTATTGGCTTCGCCAATCGAGCACCCTGTTCACTTTTGTTAGAATTCCTCCCGAAGAATCCAAGCAGACCTACCCTTTCTTGGACCCTGTCTTTATAAACAATCCCCTTTTCATTCTTTCATCAGTACTCTGTTTCTTGGAAAAGTAAGATTCTAGTGCATGCGAGCATACCCTTTCTTCAATAGAGCCGCTAGGCGTCAGTGTGGCCTTTTCATTAACCTATTAGCATAAATCCAAAGCTGAATGGCGCTATGATGTATGTGTCCTACCCGCTCATGGATCGAACTGTCCGGAACAGGAGCTGCCATGACAGCTCCAGCGAAGAACGAAAACAAAATAACAGAAAGCTTCATTTTCAGTTCGAGATGTTTTAAGAACCAGCGAAGGTATTGATAAGTGCAGTGTAAGAATTCGTCGAGTGTGTACCTCACCTGAATGTAGTGTTAACCACAAACACAGATGGGACGGTGACCTTTATATCCGCCTTGCTATAGAATTGAAAGGGGCACCTCACACAAAGCCAGGCCGGTTGTATTGCGTAATTTGAAGCAGGTAAGCTGCAATATATGATGAGCGGTGAGCCTGAGTTTGCATTGGTAAATTTAATGAGTAGAAGAAACATAGAGCCGAGTGATGATTCGACGACAAACGTGGGACTGCCTTGGGCTGAATGATATCATTGAATGTACACCGGTCATCGCATGAGACTAGTTAATTGAGGATTCATTATCATCTGACGTTGTTATGCGGGTTTGTCAATGATATTCAGTTTGACCTACATGATTAGATCTCCAATCAATGGTCTGCTCTTTTTATATCAATTGTATTAGGTTTCTGAGATGGTGACGAATCAGTGCCCTGTCTGGAGTCCCCTGGCATGCATCTTGGAGAAGAAATATATCCATGCGAGTAGGCACTAGCAGAGTGCGCATCTCAGCGATCTGCCCTATTTGGCAAGGCGATTGCTACATGGCAAAAGCTTCATTGTTCGGATGCTACCTGTACACTTTTGCTCTGTATCTGCTAAGCTTACTCGCAATATATCTACACCACGTAGTTTAAAACATCTCTACTAATCTCGCGTGTAACCCGATATTCGATTCAAGGATATAGCATAGCAACAGCCTACTAAGTACTGCTCACAAGGCGAGTAAAGTGGATATATCATATCATGTCAAGTAGAACTTACTTGACCGCTAGTTGCGGGCAGCGAGTGGAATGTCCTGGCACCAATGACCACCACGGGCAATCTGCATGATATCATTTATGATCACCTCACACTGCATCATTTATAGGGCCTTGCTGCTCAAACACAGTCCCTGTAACCAATGGCTTTGCCTGTTGGTAAAGTGCCCACCCCACTATCTCTACAGCCCTAGATACCTTGCAGATGGGACGCCACCATTAAACTAGGGGCTAATGTACTGATCGTCCAGGAAGAATATTGAATATCGAAAAGTGCTCATTTGAACAATAGCCTCTAATAATCCCCAAGACAACACCCATCCACGCAGACCCCAACATCCACCACCCCTCTCTACCGAAATCCAAAACCTAACCCCATCAAAATGCCAATATTATTCCAACGCATGAAGGAATACACATACGAGAAATTAAACCCTAATGAACCCCCAAGACACTCAAAAACAACTTTCAACTGGCAGCTTGGCCTCCCATGGATTCTGTCCGCAATCTTAGCGCTCTTCTCCGGTTATCTATTATTCCGGCAACCAGCAACTCATGGGGCGTATAGAACCGACTTCCCAGACGTGCAACCATTCGTCTCCTATGAAGAACGTACTTTCACGGGAAAATTCTATTACAATGAGGAAACACAGATGATAGAACGAGACGTAGATCCTACAAAACCACAATATGCGGGTCCGCCCAGTCCTGAGATAGATGCTGCGTGGGCTGAGTTGCTTCGAGGTACTTGTTCCTTTTTCTATATAACTAAATATAGCCATCAGTTCACATCCTAACATGTCCATAATTGAATAGGAGAATTCCCCGCAATAACAGACCAAGAAGCAGCACCATACAAACCCAATATCAAAAAGTTTCCAGACACAGGTCACTACCACTTCGAGTAAGCCAAGCCCATACATCTCCAACCATAACTATAAAGCCCGGACACCTACTAACCATGAGAAATAACAGACTGGACGTCTTCCACTCCCTCCACTGCCTAAACTACATCCGCATGTACCTAGATAAAGATTACTACGCTGCTCACCTCGAACACCACGACAGCTTTCTGAAGAATTCGTCCCATATCCCGGATGACTGGGGCCAGGTGCATCTCCACCATTGTCTGGACCAGGTTGTGCAGTCGGTGACTTGTCATGCGGATCTGTCGCCCGTGCCGATGTATGGGTGGAAAGGGGTGCCGGTATTCTTGGGCGTAGGGCAGACGCATACGTGTCGGAGGTGGGAACCGATACGGGAGTGGATGGATGCGAGGAATGAGGTTTATGAGCCGCTTGGGGAGGAATAGGGGGATAATTCTACTTTTGGGGGTTGGAGAGGGGGGGGGGGGGTTCTGTTGTTTGCATGTATGGATGTGAATAGTTGTAGTTGTAATGAAGCATTGAATGGGCTTAAGCTGTGTTGGGACGTTCGTTATTCGTCTCGAACAAAAGTGGCTGATATCAAACAAACTAGACCTGGTCATATCCCAGAGTGGCCTCGCCAATCCATCCGGAAAGCCGGTCAGAAGCCTTGAGCCTACTGATCTCCGCCACTACCATTACCACAAGGTCGAACTCCTAAACATGAACCCATATTCACTCTCACTGCGGAACCGGAAAGCACTGCTGCATATCAAAAACCACCTTATTCTCCACAACCACCAGTCCAATCAAGACAGATTCATCCTCAAAAATCACTTCCTCGTCACCCTGTACCTTCACACATTTCTTCCCACAGAGTCCCGGATTCCCCCTATGCTGCCCAACTCCCCGGGGACAAACAAACACCTTACGAGTACCCCAGTGCGGGAAGTATTCCTGTTCCATATTCGCCAAACGAGCCTCGCGAATCTGACTCTGAGGAGCTTTCAGCGACTTCACTGACCGCACAATCTTCACAGCCTGGAGGTACTTCTCTTCCTCTAGCCACTCTCGAAGACTGTCAATACCGAAGTACCTAGCTTCCTGGAGGAGCTGCAGATACAGGCTGTAGTTGTGTCCGCAGGCTCGATCGTAGAAGAGGGGGAAGATTCCGCGGCGACAGTAGCGAAGGATATGTTCGAAGAGGTTAGGATCTGCGTCAACGAAGTAGGAGCCATCTGGACGCTGGTTGTTCCATCGGTTGGAGAAGAGGGTTTCGAAAAATGTGCTTTTTTGCGAGAGAGTCGATTTTGATGTTATGAATTGACGGTCGCTTATTTGTAGGAGGACCTGCTCGTCGATGGCTTCGTTGGTGGCTTCCATTCGGTGGATTTGTGATGGTTTATATTGGTATGTCGTTTTGGAGATTATATGAAAGGCTTGGCTAGGGTCTAGGCGTTGGGAGAAATCATCTGGAGATGCTTAGTTGTTGTCTGAAGATCTCAAACTATTACAAGAAACTGTCTCCCAAGATACAACAAAGGAATTGGCCAATCCGTTAGGCAACCTGTGTTGCGCTGCCTAGGCGCCAACACATCTTGTAGTTTGTGTTAGTATCCACGTGGTTGGCGTAGTGTCAACCTCAAGAGGATGATTCCTATGATAGAACTTCATTTGGCCCTCACATGTTCCCGTCTATATATCACTGTGGCACGATGCTCTTGTCCAATATGGACCTCAAGTAAATCTTACACAGTGTTGGGCCAGCAAGTCACCCACTGTCCCGTTGAACCCGGCCGCGAGACCTGCAGCTAGTAAACTAAAGAGTTGACAGAGCTTAGGTACCAATTCACACTTTGGCGTGAAATCTCTCCACTCTCTCGTACATATCCTGGATAAACACAGTTGACCACTCCATGCTCTTCGGATCCCCAGTCGGCAGCAGCTGACTCGCATACAGACCACACAGCCCAACCTCGCGATCAATCCACCAGAACAGATTCGGCAAGCCAGCCCACCGAAGACTACCAGCCTTCTGGCCGGTTGTATGATCTTCCAGGACGACCAACCCCCCTAGTCCCCAGGTCTTCTGCAGTCCTAGCGGTGTCCCACCGAGATAATTGTTCACCTCCGGGATGGAGAGTGTCGCATTCAACATCTCCTTCGAAGCGGCAGATAACTGATCCGTAAACATATCATCAACGGTCTCGGGACGGAGAAGCTTCCCATCGTTACGTAGTAGGGAGACAAGGACCTTCAAAAATGACGGTCCGCTAGTGAATGCGCCCCATCCACCGTAATCCTCGACAACGGGGTCCGGCCACACGCGCCCTGGTATCCAGGTGAGTTGACCACTTGGGTCTGCCGGAGTCGCGAATTGGGTCATGCCACCCATTCGGAAATTAAAATCGGCTAGTTTGGCGCGAACCTCGTCGTTCTTTTCGAGGTGGAAAGTCAAGTCCGTGATGGCTAGTGGCTCGCAAATGTTCTTCTGGATGTAGTCCTCCAGGGAGACATTGTTGAGGCGTGCAACGAGGATCCCGGCCCAGTCGAGTGAGTAGCCGTACACGAAGCCCTCGCCGGGCTCAAAAAGGAGGGGCAGGTTGGCGCGCTGCAGTAGAGGCGTGCTTTCACCTATGTCGGGGGTGTGACCTGTCGACGCACGCCAACGTATCATATCAGGATTGGCGAAGTCGTACGCGATACCGGATGAATGTGTCAAGAGGTGTCTGTGTAATAAGTTAATATTCACGTTGATGCTGGTATGAGGACATGATATGTAGATAGGAGATGAGAAAGTTACCGTAATGTGATTATATTCTTGGCTGGTACCAAAATTGGATTCTCAGTACCCTCTTCAAATCCCTTGAGAACTTTGAGGTTTTGAAGTTCACCAAGCACAGTGGAGACATCGTCGTCCAGGCCAAACTGACCTCGTTCGACGCATTGCAGCACGGCGACGGTAGTAATAATCTTCGTGTACGAGGCTATAGTGAGTGTCGTGTCGAGTGTCATAGGTCGCTCAGCGCCTGGTTTCAAGGATGCATTACCAATAGCCTTTCCGTAGTGGAACTTGTCTGCTCAGGGGTTAATATAGATTGATGGGTCACCCTCTTTACCAGCTTACCGGCTCTATCAGTAGCAAGCAAGATCACACCGGGAATCTCGCCTGCCGCAACTGCGGCCTCGATTCTCTGTTCCTTTGTTGCCATTGCTTCCGTTGGCACTAGCTTATCGGCTTTGTTCTGGGGGATTTGAAAGTTCGCTATCCGGCAAGGACAAACATCAGTCTAGATAAACTGGCGAAGTCCTCAGATCAGGAGGAGAAAAGGACTTGATCTCGTTCCGAAAGAGGTGGCGATGAAGCCTTCTTATATGCCTAGAAGACGAAGGAATAGAGAAAAGCGAGATCAGGTTCGCAGCGGCTGGAGCAGGTTTTATGTCAACATATGACCTAAAGTGATGGCAGTTGGTTATATATGGAGTTATTACCGAGGTGATAAAATAAGAGTGGATACCCTATGTAGTCGGCTGCGACAATCCGACTGCGAATTTGAACGACGCTTTGGGGAATTGGCCTCCAAATCTAACTAGTGCTTATTTGATGTGGGGATGAAGCGCCGAGCTGCAGGGTAGTTAGACGATGCAACCATAACGGGGGAGGTATTAATATTTAGCGGCCAGGATCCACATTAGCCTGTTGATTAGATATGTATATTTGTGCTTTTCTTTGGCTAGAAGCCACAATGGTGAGGCTTCTCCTCTTGACTGAGTCATAAATTCAACTTAGGGTTTGCCACAGGTTCCTTCTGGTGAGTCGGAAGTTGGGCATGCATCTGTCATTACTCGAGACTTTATGGTCTATTCGATCATTCGACTTCCAAAGAATAATCATAGACTTTAGGTCCTGGAGGTGAGGATCCGTACATCCGATGCAAGACGATGTCAGCCCCGGTCTTTACTTCACTTTGAGCACTTACCTTTGTTATGATCATTCCCATCTTTCGAGGACTTGCCGTAGTGAAATAGAAAGGATGTACATGCGTCAGGCTGCCCTGTCTGAAAATCCAAATTCGGGTATCCGGACGCTCTTTTGCATCGAAAGCGCTGCTAATCGTTGAACTTGGAAAACGGAGATCGAGAGAAAGCCTTGATCATCAGCGAAATACATTCTTAACTTTGATCATACCATTTGATAGGTAGACTCCCCATGGCTTTAGGGCTGAAACAAGCCGTGTTCATGATCAAAGCCAAACGCCAACAGTAGGAATTCATATTCCTCTTATCAGACAAGCAAAAAGGCAAAGAAGTGGCTTTATCCATACGACCTTCTATACTCTATGTGACATTCTTTTGGAAACCTTCTACTACAGCCAAGGACCTAACCCGATGAACCCAGCAAAAAGCCCTGCGAATATAACCTGACAACCAGAGAGCATGGGAACCATAACACGGTATGATCGTTAGCATTCTATCCAAAAGTTGCTAAGATAGCTCAATCTTAATACATAAAGGCCCTGCCACTAGGATAGACTACGCCATTACTCTTGCCATGAGACGGAGTTCTTCAACGAAGCCAGGAGGATATTTCTAGCACTGACAAGATTTAGGCTTTATAGTAGGTGCAATACCACGGAACCTTTCATTCTAGTGCTGTAGATCTCGCAATCAAGCCAATCAGTACTCGAGATGTTGGCCTTCTCGCAGATGTAAAAGCCCTACAAGCGAAGCCCCTCATACGACCGCCAGAGTCGCAGTCAGATATCCGATAATTTGATCTATAATTAAATACATTCAGATTGTCCTCGCCTACTCCATCAAAGCAACCATCACATATCAAGAGACAATACCATCTCTCTCTCTCTCTCTCTCTCTCTCTCTCTCACGATGCTTTAGGATGACGTTACGGAGGTGATAGCTCTATCCACATTCTGAGGGTCGGGCCCGGTACATTCGCCGAGCTTTTGGTTGTAACGATAGATGGCGATGGTTGGCACGTCTCGGATGCCTATGCCCGCTTCCTTGGCAATCTTGTCTTGCGCATCGATGTCCACCTTGTAGAATTGGGATGAAAACCCCTTGGTCCTATCCTCGAGGAGTTGGGCAATCGGTTTGCAAGATTGAACTCGTTCGGAGGAGAAGAAAACTGCAACTGGTGTTACTCCGCCGGTGATCTCCTTGTATTGTGGCACCCTGCCATAGTATCGTCATCAGTCTTTATCACCATAGCTCATGATGCGGGGGAGATGCGGGGAAAGAAGGGAGCGTGACGGTACTTACGAGGTAATAGCTGTGACCGACATCTTGGGGCAGGTTGAACTGATCAATCGAACGATTGGTGATCTTCGTGTTGTGTAGCCGGGTTCAAAAGTGAAGGATATGGAATAATGTCGTCTTTATATAGTAGCGAAATGATGACATCGACGAATGGACTACCCCGCCGGGTGTGGCCTCAGGTGTCACTATCACATCACACGATCAGCTGTTGACTGAGAGCTGGTGTGGGTTTTGTGCCAATAAACTGCAACGGGTGGGGCGATCGACCGCGGGGTATTTTTCCGATGTTGTTTCGATCCATGCGTGGATTGAAATCATTGGTTCAGCGAACCCAAAATCAGTCTTGCCCGGTGAGTACACCGTGAGTTGTCACTCAATACGTCATCTAATCTCCATGGGAACGGCGAAGCGTTGAATAACTTAGGATCATATTAAGTTTTGAATACGTTCTAGTTTCTAAGGCAGCAAGTATCCTGAGGTGGTCGCAGCGAACACCCCCGTCTTGAACGAAGGCGGGAAACAGTGATACAAAACGAGAGTCGGCGCATCATCTCAATACTCGACTCGCTGGGAATAAGCTAGAGTGCGCTTGTTGAGCTGCACTGCGCGTTCCTCGGCCGTGACATACTGGGTCCCTTCTGGAAGGACTGAGGCTAGATCAGACAGTGCCACCACCTGGACATCAATGGAAAGGGAGTCCGCAGACGATGTAGCGGTGTCCAGCCCTTGCCAGCGCACCATGATAGTACCCTCATGGAGTCCGGTAGTGTTAACCCAATTATGGACACCAGGATCATCCAGGGATACGACAAATGTGTACGTCCCATTGGCGTTAGCGACGGCCTGGTTGCTATTCAGACTAACCAGGCTACTCCCGGGATCCACAGTGACCATCCAAGGGTTTGTCACTGGAAAGACAAAGTAATCCGCCTCGCCAGAGGTGAGGGTGGCCACGAGGGCTTCCTCCGCGGTGAGGTGGAAATGGCCAAAGGAGCTCGCCTGGCTGGTCAGAGTACCGAGGGAGCTGGACTGACTCGGGGCTTTGAGGGTGTTCACGGTGTTCGTCATCGTCTTGAGCCCGAGTGCTCCGACGCCGTAATCCACAATAGATTCCTGCAGGTTCCATATCGCATCGCGGATAATCTTCGCGCTGGTGACGGCGCCATGGCCGGTGGTGTTGCTCACAGCGTGAACCGTGATGTTGTCTGGCGTTTCGGAGTTCCAATCCCCGAGGTTGTTGCGGATCAGAAGTTGCACGGCGGAGGAAGTAGATTGGATGTGATTTGTCTGGCCATCGGCAGCGGAGCTGTTGATGGTGATGGTATACGAGCCATCACTGTCCACTATCAAATCGCTGCCGGCCAAGTAGGCCACGGTGTTCTGGGAATTGGGGTCGCTAATCAATGAGAAGCTCACATCGGTGGGACCGACTGAGTGGCGGTAGCCTGTCACCACATAATCGACATCGTTGTCGATTGGAATGGTGCGGTAGATACAGTCGGGATTATCGTAAGAATATCGTCCGCCGGGAACATCCAGTCCGAACCAACTACGCGGACCCGAATCAACCCAGTAGACCTTCGGATGGTAGGGATCGTTGTTCACAGCCTTCTGAACGGCGCTGAAGACTAATTCCTCAATGGCTGCATCGAGACTAGAGGCCGCCTCCTCACTAATTGGAATTCCATGAGCTGTTTGGTAGGCCACCTTTGCCTCACCCTTGAGGACAGTGAACGGGTAATCTTGATAGATCTGGATTGCAAGAGCATCCAGCTCCTGCTGGTCGGACGTAGCTAGAGGGTTCCCGGTTGTTGCTTCGGCTAATGCTCTTACACTCCAGGCTGTGCTGGTCACTACAACCGCAACGATAGCCAGTCCTTGCGAGACAGGAAAGAGTCTCATGATGTCCCGGGTTAATGTCAAAGACGTGAGCTGTGATCGAGAGTCAAGGCATCACGACGTCCCAAAGCAGCTGAAGCGTCTGCTTATATACTACACGCTAAGAAGCACTGTCGTCAGCTAATTTTATTGCGCAATTTGGATTGTGACATCCAGTACAGCATTTTGCAACCGAGCATAACTTGCCGAACCTCCGGGATAATTAAATTCTTCGTCTTGCAGAATCAGGGGTCGCTCTAGCGGCGAGCCAATCCCATCCATACTATGCTCGTACATCTCCCAGGCTATCAATGTTGCCATAGCCACTCGGGAAGAGGTGATCGCCAGCTTTTAGCCTCCTTGACCCCGCCCCGGTACGGGTTCAGGGCGGGTTTTCCGAGGCTATTCGATGAACTCTCAACAGGGACATTTGTTAGTCGTTAGGACGGTGAATTCTATTAAGCTATGCGCTTGGGGGTAAAGGAGTCGCATCCTAACAGATTTGTGTAGATATTAGTATTCACTCCATCATCTAGAAGAAGCCAGCCACCTCTTGAAGATATCAGAAGGACCCTCAACCCTCAAGAGGGCTGTGCCACAATCACCCGTGATAACGATCTTCACTTCACATACTCACATTTGCATAACTTCTCTAGGCCTTTCATAAATCGGCTACATAGCAAATGAGGGTTTCATCATCTAAGGATAGTGAGGTACGGAGTAGTGTCCGCAGACTTACCCAGTAAAACAAATCGTTAAAACGCAACCGTCTCTATAATTATCAAGTAGAGTATTGACTGAGGAACACGTTCTATTACGGTTGTTTGGACGATTTTTCCTGTCTTATAGTAATTTTAGACGTATTACTTGACTTCCAAAAAGGGGATTTAAGTATACTTCCTGAGTTTGCTCTCAATATCTACTTTCTAAAGTAATTTATATATTTGGGTTTGGTTTCTGGTGTGAAGCAGAACTACCCTGGGTATGACACCATACTCCTAGTTGAGGAACTACTAGAAAAGCAGTTAATTATAAGCCCTTTGCCTGAGCGATTAGGTGGTCTGTGACTTGGAATCACAATATTCTAGTTATAAGTTACTACGTAGAACTGTATCAAACTCCCCCCTCCGGTATCTTTTCGAATCAAGATTTGCAATGTACAAGAGAATATACTCAAGCCCTATATCTTCACTAAAGCTCAACTACAATACAACCCGCATCCCACCCCATAAACCCATAAATACTAAAGCGTAGATAGTCTATACAATTCTAACCTCATATACACTATAATACAATCGGAGCAGTGAGTCCCATAATACAAAACCCCCAACCCATGAGAGCAGTGAGTCCCACCCCAAGAGCAAAAGAAGTAACCCCAAACGCCCACAAAATGCCGCTCTATCCCAAACAAAAACGCCCACCCAGAATTACGTCAACTCTATACGCACACACAAACACACTCACTCACTCCTCACTCGGCATCCTCATATAAGCATCAATCGCCGCACTAAACGCCGCGAAACCCGCACAACCAGCCGCGGCAGCCTGAGGACCCGCCTTCGCACCGAGAATACCACCCGTGATACAGCCCGAGATCACACTGTTCGAGAGATCGTTCTTCGCGCGCAGTCCCTCAACGCAGCATTCCGTGCCCGAGTACAAGGCACCCACAATACCGAAGTTCTTGGCCGAGGACCAGGAGCGGGAGCCCATGTCTTTGAAACCGCGGCGGACTTGTTCACGCCAGGGGAGGTCCATGATGGCTTTTCCTTGAGGAGTGAAGGTTGAGTCGTAGGACATCTATTTCGTATGACATTAGTATTCCATTGTGGAAATCGGGGGCACTGGAGTAGTGGTGAAACATACACTAGCCATAAACAATCCAAACACACCACCAAGACCGAATCCCATCGTACCGGAGATCACAGTCTTCACGGGACACGATTCCATGGCGGCATGCATCTGTTCTCGTTAGCATATTCTGTCCTTCCCTCTCGCAACGTTATCGTTTCCGCGCGTCCAGGTGCTTGACTCGGACTCCGGAGTGGATTGACTAACCGCTTTCACCATTGCCTGTTCCTGCTCGCTCATACCCTGCATTCCGGCACCGGCACCGGGGAGTCCGGCTCCTGCGGTTGCGCCTGCGGGGGCCATGCCGGGAGTCATTCCTGGGATGTTCATTTTGAAGTTGTGTTGTTGTGTTTGGTCCGGGGAGGATTTCTAGGTGGGGTGGGAGATTGTGTCGATCAAGTGGTGGTACGACCGTTGAATGTCTCCTGCGGGAGAAAGGTAAAGGTTATTAGAGCTGAAAAAGGAGTGCAAAGCTCGAGGAGGACTGGAGGTGAGAATGCGATCCCCGGACTTTTTTGCGGAGATGAGATGGCGACTCGCAAATTTATTTACGGCGGTCGAAAAGGACCCTTGGTGCAATATAGTCACGTGATTAGCATCGTGTACTACCATTGGTATCACTCGTCCATTGATTCATGGTTTTCTACTTTTGCATCCATGGAACGTGCTCTGTCAAAATTTACCAATAAGAGATTTGTAGAGTATTGTCATATTTTCTACTTTCTTGACATATATTTATATCAAATGTTCCTTCTGTTCGTCAAACAAGTTGTACAAGAAAGCAACCAACAGTAGTGAAAGAGAGACAAGAATGAAAAATGAAAGGAACGTCAGTAACAGAACGCTGGTCGTAAAAGGCATTGGGATCAATCATAACCTTGCGTTATCCGTATTGTCTCATGCTCAAGATCTAATATATCAGTCACGCCAAAACTAGGCTAGATCGTGCATGTTCATGTCCATATGTACAGTAGCATCCCGGAATGGAGTGGAAGGCCCAGAAGGGAAGAATCAAAAGAAGAAAGTGGCTGACTTAGTCTTTCTTGAAGGTGGGGGAGTCCAACGCGGGCGACAGACTGCGCTCCCATTCGGCCATGAGGTTGGTTGCCGTGCGCGGCAACTTCGGGGACGGCATGTCGGCCATGGCAGGCCAGGGGATGCCATCTGACACGCTGGGATCTGGGACAAACGAGTCGTGGAGTGGGCGCCAGTCGCCAAAGCTAATCGTGGTAAGCGCATGCATTGTCGCACAACCACACTGGCCGGATTGCAGCAGAAGGCAGCGGGGAAGAAGACAGAACAGAGACAACTCACCTAGTACTTGTGCGGGGACTACTAGGAGTCATCGGAGACTGGTCTTGCTTCGATTCCCACGTAGACTGACTCGAGGAGGGGGTATGCATTTTCTTCGGTTGGGGAGTATCCCAGTCGTCCCAGTTGTCCTCAATGTCGAGACGATTGGACTCGTTTTGCGCGTTCGGCCCGCTTGGGGTAGTGGAGGCTCTGTGAGCGTTCGGGGACTTCTGCCCACTTGTATCAATGCCGAATTCACTCCAGAACGACGAGTCTATATCCGTCGATTTAGAGTCTTTACCAGATAATTTCGCTCCTGCACCTTTACTCCGTGACGAGGAGTCGGATCGCGAGGACATGCCTCCTTGCGTCGACAACCGGTCTCGGCTGCGCGACGTCGAGCTCCGGGACGGCACCGCTCTCGATTCGGTGGCGTTGATTCCTTCCTCCCCTACGGTCGCCTGTCGGATATCTTCCAAGAAGGTCCAAAGACCCTCGCGCAGATCGGATGCCATCTGTTTGCCCGTGCGCATCAGCGCCTCCCGCGACGGGGGAGGCATCGTTTTCCGCCACTGCGCGATCATATCTTCATTCGAGCTTAGAACCATCGGGCTACGCTCAGCCGACGGCAGGGTCGCAGCTCGTGGAGAACGGCCCATGCGATCCTGGTCGGGCTGGCCACTTCCTAACTCTGAACCTGGCAGATTGGGGACAGGGCCCACAGTAGGCGAGAGCAAGGACAAGGTCCGCGTATGGGAACCTTGGAACACCCGTCGTCCATTCGCAGAGAGTTTGGTACCCTTGGCCGCCGCAGCGCGCACACTGTGACGGCGCTCCAGCTCCCGGCTGAATCGTGGTTGTGCGACCGATGGGCTCTCCGAGCTCGTCACGCTGTGTTCCCTGCTGTGAAGGATCGTCTCGTCGGCGCCGGGCCGGTCGGGGGATCGCAGAGGGATCAGCGGTTCAGCACGATGGCTGATATCGATGCGTTTCTTGGTCTTTTCTGATGCCTCCCATTGTCTTTTCAACGAGTCCAGCTCTGCTTCAGCCCGTTGAAGCTCCTCGCGGAGCTCCAGCACTTTCCGTTCCTGCGAGGCAATGGCGGTCAGGAGACCGGACCCGTCATCGTGGTCGTCGAAGGTTACAGGGGTGCCGACGGCGGGGATATGAGAGTGTCGAGTCGAGGGGCGAGTCACAGGCGTCATGGAACTGGGCTCAACCACGTTTGAATCCAGGGCCGTAGTCAGGGGAGGTACGTTGATGGGAAAGTTCAGGGTCAAGCGCTTCTTATGCCGTGCTGCCCCATGGGGACGGGCGGGGAGAGAGGCACGTTTCTGCTGGCGGAGTTGACGTTGCTGCTCGAGCTGTTCCTCGGTAAGATCGCTAGCGGACATGGGATTGGAATGATGGTCCAACGAGGAGCGTAACAATGGTTGGGATGCTCCCGACGCAGGTGACTCGGCTCCCGTGATATCTCCCATGACGTTGGATTACAGTCGGGGTTCAGGGAGTGTGTGGAAGAACCGGGGAAAAGACAAGATCATGACATAAACAGCAGTAGAGACTGTGGTATGAAAAATAATAATAATAAATATACAAGTCCAAGAAGAATAACAAAACCAAAGGAATCGTAATGGGTTGGGTTCACCCAAAAAAAAGAGACAATAAAACAAAAAACCAAATCGTTCCAAAAAGAGTGGAAGAGAGAGCGAGAAACAAACTAACAATAATCCGCCGGCACGAAATGCAACTGACGAGGGTAGGAAAAATAAAAGCAAGAGGAAAGGGACACAAAGTTCAACTGCAGGAATTAAAAGGTCTGGCCAAGTGACTAAGTAAAAGTAAAATTAGAATTAGTGTCAACGAAAGGAAGGTGTTTTTTTGTCTCCTGAGCCCCGAGTTGCAAGAGCAATTCTCTTTGCCCATGAGGCGGGTCGAACGCGCATCCCTTCCGTGTCCAGCTTGTTCAGGGGGGAAATTGATCGCCGTCACCGCCGAGTGATTGGCCGTTTCATCGTGGCATTAAATATAGTACTGTACTGCGTCCTGTCCTCAGTGAGGATTCTCCGTCCTTACCGTATTGTCAATTTCTCCATTCTCCGGTATGCAAGATTTGCTTTCCCTTCCCCGGTATGTTTAATGAATGACAGTATGGGATGCCACATGGGGTTGACAGCTGCAGGGAATTTGTAGGTGAGACAAGTAATTTACCGAGTTTAATCACCATGTCTATCAAATTCCACCCACATTCATTGCTATTTGCACTTCCTCATTACAACGAGATATCAATCGGCACGGCTCCGTATCCACCCCAACCTAAGTCGTTATTACCCGCCGGTCTAGATTTTCCACTGATTCTCGTCCTTGCCTTATTTTCGCTTTCGATTGCTTCTATCCGCAACTTGCACGGCCAATTACGTACACACAATTCAACAACAACAATGCTGAGGTATAGTATTTCACATAGAACCCTCATGGGGTCATCTTGGAATGGTTAAAGGGGTTAAAAAAAAAAAAAAAAAAAAGTATCAAAACAAGAAGAGAAAATCCAGTAATCACAAGTCCTCAAAAAAAAGATTCACCAGAAATGAAACCCAACACATACGAAACTCCAAAACCCGGTCCGTGATCTGATGGGAAACCAAGAAGAGAAATAAAGGATAATCAGCGCCGCGGTTCGCACTTGCGAGATTGTTCATCCCACCCCGTCCTTGCTGAACGAAAGACTGCCGGCATGGTTTAACATGCACCGCTCTCAATTCGGGGTATCATCGACCTGCAGCTAACCCCTTGCAAGAATCGAGGGAAAGAACACGAGAGAATGAATTAAGCCCTTGCGGGGCCAGTTGTGCGATCAATATAGAACGAGCGTAAACTAAGATTGTACCGAAAACCAGGCCGAATAAGAACACCGGATATGTAAACGCCTGTTTTGTACAGCGGAAGGAAAGAATCAAGAAAAGCCCCTGAAAGATTAAGCAAAGAATGTTCCTGCAGGGCTAAATGCAGTTACATCCCGGGCCAGCGATTGCGCAGCCCTTCGGACCACCGCTGGTAGAGCACATCCGACAACTGCTTGGTGTGCTCCATACCGGGGACTTGTTGACCCGGAAGGTTGGCTAATTGCGCCGGTTGCAAGCTGGGCTCAGCCACTGCCGTGGATTGCCGCCGTCGATGGCTTTTTAGGTGCGGGTTGTTTTGTGCCAAAACTAGGCGTGGTCTCTGTGGGGATTCGGGTGGTGGAGCTGCCTGTGGGACAAGACTTGACAGCTTTGGATCACTGTTTCAAAAGCTCCGTTAGCCAACACCGGTTCCGTCCGTCACGGTGAGCAGTAGCTCGTAACTTACCCTTGAAGTTTTTCGTTCATTATCTTAAGAATGTGGTACAATCCCTCGGGGTCAACCATTTCAAGATCACTCCAGGCCTCTGCCAGTCGAGAAATCGCCTCTCGCTTTTCCTGGTCCCCAGTGGTCCCAAGAACCTCCTGACAGGACAAGCCAACAGCTTTGCTGTATGCCCGTCGTCCGAGTTGCGCTTCCTTGCTGTTCGGCTCGGAGAACAGTGTTTTTGGGCTACTGTTCTCGTCGGGTCCAAAGGAGTATTGGGAGCTATACGAATTCTCGGATGGGATCTTATCAGATACCCGACGGAACTGCCGGACGGTCGATGGACTGTTGCCAAAAGTCAAGTCAACGCCCAGGGGCTGCTTAATTCCACTGGAGCGCCGCTTCCTATAGCTTCGCCGCGTGGAAGGGCTGCGCTCCGGGGCCGGGGCTCGTCTCACGGCGGTGTTCACCGCACTATTCGGAGCGCTATTCGGAGCGTGCTTAGGCGGGAGCGGAGGGCTGGAGATGTGCATGTCATTCATCATTTCCGATGTTTCATCGTACAGGAAATCTTGGGAGTCTGGGTCATTTTCGTCCACGTATGGATCCTCTGAAATCTTCATGGTGGGCGCTTTGACTGTGTCGAAGACCCAGCCGTCGTCATCCTTCAAGTGCGTAATGGTATTCCTAGACGGCGACGTTAGTAGATATCCGGGCGTAAGCCAAATCAGATGCGCATACAAAGACTCAGCATAGTACTTGACATTCCGCGTCACTCCCCTGCCAGCATCCCAATCCTGTTTCCGGTGAATCAGCTCTTGCAGCGCTTCGGTCTTCCCCGCATTCCGGATGAATTTGTGTCGTAAAAGCTCTTTCGCGCTTGGTCGGCGCTCCGGATCCTTCGTGAGACATTGGGCAATAAAGTCCTTGAATGTGTTGCTATATTGGTCGCCTTCCAGTCGGGGAGCCGGCTCCTTCGGGATCAGAAAGAGGACTTTCATTGGATGTGTGCTGGCATGTGGCGGCTCGCCGTTAATCATCTCAATAGCCGTAATTCCTAGGGACCAAATGTCTGCCTTGTAATCGTATCCAGACTGCTGAATCACCTCTGGCGCCATCCAAAACGGGGTTCCGACGAACGTGTTACGTTGCGATTTGATATTGATCAGCTGTGCTGCCACGCCAAAATCCGCCAATTTGACTTTGCCGGTATGTGAGAGAAGCACATTCGCAGCTTTGATATCGCGGTGAATCTTTCCTTCGCTATGTAAGTAATCCAAGCCCTGTAACAGCTGCTGGCAGATAATGGCAACGTGCGCTTCATTGAAGACGCCCGGTTTCAGCTAATCTCCGTTAGCAAAGAGCCTTCCGTATCCGACAATGGAACCGTAAATTACCAGGTCAAGACAAGAACCTCCACCCAGATATTCCATCACAATCCACAGTTTATGTCCTCGGAGAAAACTAGCCTTGTACTGAGTCACGAAGGGACTCGCACACGTCGCCAGGACGGAGATCTCCTGCTGAATTTCCTGGATATCATCTTCGCTCGACTCGAGATCGATCTAATAGTAGCAAACAAAATCAATGTCAAACTCTTCAAAGCGGAACCTGCACGCGGTGGACCTACGTGTTTGATCGCAACAATCTCTCCAGTCGACTTTTCAATGGCCTTGTAAACGATTCCAAAGCTGCCACCTAAAAGCGCAGAAACAATTAGCCAATCCCATTGAGGCCATCCTGGAACGGTTGCAGCTTACTGCCCAACTCCTCCATCATTTGGTACTGGCTCGCCATATCGTCCGCCATGTTTCCGGATTTGTCGGCGCTTCAGGGGGCCACAAAGAAAAGGAAAATGAAAAAATACAAAAACCAGGGATACCTGGAGACAATGAGCGACCCTTACAGCCAGCCAGCTAACCGTGTCCGGCGAGACCTTGGAGTTGAGCTCAATAAGTCGATATTATCGACCTTGGGAAGGGGGGGGCGGAGAGCTGAGGGAAATCGAGATTAGAGTAAATTGGTTGCTCCCGTCGCATCCAATGGTCGGCTGCCGCACTTTTCCATGGTTCGCGGAAAACAACAGGCGGTAGCGCATGGCAACCGCCGCCTGAGGCACCGAGTGGACCCCAAGGTTCTGCACCGATTAGATAACGCCCCGCATCTGGCCTCAGGCTGCAGCTGCGGCGGATTAAATCCCCGGAGGCCATAGGCCAATCGTATTATCGTCTCACTAACCACCGAAAAGTACTATATTACTAGTACAAACTTCTATATCACTAGTAGTATACACTGCAGTAGGATGACTTTTCACAGAAAGAGTACGGCTGTAGCTAAATCCCAGATTATTTGATTTTAACGCCTATTAATTATCAACCCTGCTATCGAGATACTCAGATAAGTGGATCTTTCCACCCGTATGATCTTAGTTCATTTCTTCTTCTTGAGCAAGGAAGCCCGGCGCAGCTCTTGTTTCGGGGGAGGGTGTAAGATCCTCAAGCAAAAATGCTTATTGACTCGGCACCTTCACCAACATCGACAGGATCAACAGGGTCGCTTAGAGTACCATCCATAACATACACCAGGATACCGTGATTTAAGCTTATAGACAGAGTCTGTAAGCATCTCCCCTGTGCTGGGCCGAAGTCAGGATTGCCTCGCTAACAGTGTAAATGAAAGCGGTCTGGACGGGACTTGCAGTCGCGCCCCAACATCGGTAAAAGGCCTTGATTCATAGTGACATAAGGCCCTTCTCCCAAATTCATCGAATTGCCTTTGAAGATCAGGAATGGGCGAATGCTAGGCCGTGCTAGTTCAATTGGAAGTAGGACAGGCGATGGTCTGTAATCAATTTGTTGATGATATGTTGGTTAAAGAACAACATCCCGGGCTCATAACCTGTTGGATGTTGATACATGAAGACACTGTCGCAAAGGTGGTACTAATCGTGTTCAAGTCTGCTCCTCCTCATCAGCCTATTCCTTATCATGCTGCACCTCTGTTCACCACGCTGTGTATTGCTATTCTCTTCAATGTCTTCCCCGGGGCCGATAAAAGCAAAGCCATGCTCTTCAACAGTACTGACCACTTCCCTTGAGAGTCAGGCAGCAACCGCTATGTCCTTCTTCTTGTTATGGAAGCGTAGTTTGTAGGTTAACCAACGTATATATAATATCAAGCGGGCCCTTGTGGATGTGGAAGGTTGAAGACAAAAATATCTGACAAGGACAATGCAACCTCCGCTTGGGGGTCTGTCGATTATCTTTCTGTATCTCGTATTTAGCCTCCATTTCTAGCTCCCTCATATGGTACAGGAGGTTAAATAATCCATTCTGTATTGTAGAAGGGATCAAAGCCAGTATAGCGGAGTAGAGAAGATTGAAGGGTTGTCACCTCAAGCATCTAAGCAGGAGGCCCCTTAAATAGACAAACTTGTGCAAAGATCCCCAGTTTCTACAAAGAGATTTTATTGAATAAAAAACCAGTGGCGCCATCATGTAGCGTGTCGTATTGGAAAACACCTCCATTTGGAATGTTCATAGAAGTATGATTGTGTTCAGGTTGATAATCTGGAAAGAGAAGAACATATTGGTGAACAGCACAGGCTTGAATTCTTTTTTCTTATTTTCCAGTATATTGAGTCTGTGAGAAACGGGCATGTGGTCTACGATCATTATCGGCCCAAGTCGCACTTGGATGTCGCCTTCGTGATATCCGGGAATAAATACGATAAATCTTGAACCCAATAAATTCACACTCTGTGGTATAATAACTTCTCATATGAATACAGAACGCAGCTGCTTTTAATAGTAATCTAAATGTACTTGTAGGGGTTCATAATACCGTTCTAAGAAAGGTGTTAGTTTTTGCATACACAAAACGAAGATGGAATTACTTACCGGATCGTACAAATCCTTCAACTGCTTCATCAGCTTCACCATGGTCTCGTCTTGGCTGTAACCAATGAATTCCTTCTTTGCAACGCCAAGTCCGTGCTCAGCACTGATACTACCGTTGCGCTTCTGGATCCACTCGTACACCCAGGGCTCAATGGCCTTCTCGACCTCCTTGTTGTACTCCCGCACCGAAATGTTCAAGTGCAGGTTCGAATCACCCATGTGACCATATCCAACAACAGCGCGGACAGGGAAGGAGTCATCGTCTCCAACGAATCCAAGCTTGGTCAAACGTTCACGGCAATCATCCACGAGCTGGTACAGCTCAGGAAGAGGAATCGAGACGTCGTACTTGTAAGTGCCACCCAGGTGGCTCAGGGCCTCGGTGATACCTTCTCTCCAGCGCCAGATACCCTGGAACTGGGTTTCATCCTGCGCCAAGACACCATCGGCGACGATACCCTCGCCCATGATGTGTTCCAAGAAGCCCTCGAGCTTAGCCATATCGTGCTCACCATTCGATCCGCTAGTCTCTACTACACAGTAGAAGGGGTATTCACCATCCAGAGGATTCTTGTTGCCAGTGGACTCGTGGACAAGCTTTTGGGTACGGCCGTCCATGAGCTCGAAAGCGGAGAGAATCTCAGAGAGATAAGACTTGGCCTCCTGGTGCGCCTGACGCACTTTCTCGTAGCTCTCAACACCAAAGTAAGCCACGTTAACCGCCTTGGGACGGGGGGGACACAGGATGGAAAGTCCAGTGATGATACCAATCGTACCCTCCGCGCCAATGAACAGCTGCTTGAGGTCATAACCGGTATTGTTCTTACGCAGAGTCGAGAGAGAATTGACGATAGTACCATCCGCCAACACCGCCTCAACACCGAGAATGTTGCCATGAAGACTACCGTACCGAAGCAGACGCAGTCCACCAGCGTTCGTAGCAGCATTACCTCCAATATGGCAAGAACCCTTAGCACCCAGATCCAGAGGGAACAGATGGTCCCGCTCCGCTAGGTACTGATCTGCCACCTCCAAGATCACACCCGCATCAGCAACCAAAACACCCGAGCCCTCGTCGAAGGAGCGGATCTTGTTCATGCGCGATGTGTTGATGACAATCTCATCGAACACGGGCACGGAACCTCCCACCAATCCCGTGTTGCCACCCTGGGGAACCACTGCCAATTTCTTGTCATTACAGTATTTCAGCACCTGGCTCACCTCCTCCTTGTTCTGAGGCTTCAGCACCAGTCTTGTGTGGCCGCGGTACTTGCGCATCCAGTCGCTGTTGAACGGTTCGATATCATCGACAGCATCGGTCGTCACACCATCGATCACGGCCGACTGAGAGCCCAGAAGCTCCTTGAAAAAAGATACATCCTCGGCCGTAATCTCAGCAAATTTAGGGTCACGCTTGAGGTTAGGATAGGCGTCGCTGGTGTACTTGATCTCCTTAGTCGCATTCACGGAGGCGGTGACGCTAAATGAGCGGGTGGCGATGCGAGAGGGAGCACGAGAGACGATGGGCTGGACGAAACAGCGGGGTCTGGGCAGTCGAGCCCTCCGTAGGGCGACCGAAACGTTCCTGACACTCGACATGGTGTGGTGGTTGGCAAACAAAAATGTTGAAGGTTGTCTGCCAACGGAAGACTAAAAAGCTGACCGAACCGGAGTTGGCGCCGACTCCGGAGTGCACTCGACATCCCGACCGAACATAGAAAATTTTCCGGCTATGGTTCAATGGTTAGCACGCAAGAGGAAAGAATATGTATGGTATAAGTTTTATTTAGTCTATATACTTATTCACAAATTAATTCATTTTACTGCGTTACATTTTTTTTTTTTTTTTCTTATCTCTTATTTCTATTTTGATTACCCTTTTGTGTAAAAGTGGGGAGGGGAATGGCAAATATATTGTACTAACAACGTTGGATTATATATATCTTAAATATTTCTCGTTAAGTTACAACATGAACCACGTACAAATCTGCGCACAGTATGCTTCATCTACTTGGAACACGTGGGAAACGTCTTGGACAGAGGACTCTTTGTATAAACGCGATTGGTATAAACAATCATTAATAGTTCACATGGGTCAGCTGAGTATACCGGTACGTACATTTGCGGTTTGAATGGCAAGCCTCCCAATTGCCATTAAAAATAAAAATAAAATTGGTTCTAGCCAGACTCTGGAACCTTACCAATATCGGAACTTCTATAGGATGTGGTCCATAGGATTTGTCACTCGATACATTGCAGCCTCGTATTAATCCATGGAAGGGTTTCAGCTTGTTCGAAAGAATTAAACCCCGGCTGATTCAAGAAAAAGGTACTTTGCATTGCAAACGAATCATCGCTTGAGGTGGTTCAGCCAAAATTGGAGCCAAGAACCGCCATTGGGCAAACAATGTCCGAATTAGGAAAAGAGCCAGTCCAGGTGTAAATAAAGACCAGCTCACGTTACGCCCATAATGGGATGACACCTGATCGGGAAAGTAGTACTCCAGCTATAGCTGTACATACATAACAGTCATAATTCTAAACACAAAAAGCAACTACCACATCGTCATCAGACATCCCGGCTCCATAACCGAGCTCTTCTGTTTTCACTAAAACAGAGCGGAAAGCGGTTCAGGTTACGTCACTACTATTGTGCCCCGCAGATTCACAAAACATTCTCGAACACCTCCAGCCAAAACCTCCTTCCGTCATGACCACCATTGAGTCAACTCCTGAGAAAATGTCAAGCGTTGTCCTTGTTACTGGTGCTACCGGCCTGCTCGGCCGGCAGGTATTCAACACTTTCAAACACTCGGGGTGCTTTGTCGTCGGTCAAGGCTATTCGAGAGCCAACCCACCGACCATCCTGAAAGCCGATTTGGAGGATAAGGAAGACGTGAAGCGTATCCTGGACGAAGCAAAGTAAGTGAATTGGGGAAATGTGGTGTGAGGACATCTCTCTGAATGAACAATTGCCTCGGGGGGGCGTATGTCTAAAAACAAAGAGCTAATCGTGGATGTGCCACAGACCTCAGATTATCATCCATTGTAAGCTCAACAAGTATCGTAAAATCTCTCACGGGGAGACTGACACGCACGTCTTTAGGCGCCGCCAATCGTTCTCCCGATTCGTGTGAGCAAGACCCCGAGAAAGCGCGCCGGGTGAATGTCGAGGCTACGCGGACCCTTGCCGAAGAAGCCTCGTCTCGCGGCGCATTTCTCATTTACATCTCTACGGACTACGTGTTTCCTGGTAAGGAAGGAGAAGCTCCATATGAGGCCGATGCGGAAACGAACCCTCCCAACCTTTATGGTCAGCTGAAGCGGGATGGTGAGATTGCTGTTCTGGAGGCGACCAAGGAGACCGGGCTCGGCCTCGTCCTTCGGGTGCCCGTCTTGTACGGTCCCTCAGAGAATAACTCGGAGAGCGCCATCAATTGTCTGATCGATGCGGTGTGGAAGTCTCAGGCTCCCGAGTCAAGCGTGAAGATGGATGACTGGGCCCAACGGTATCCCACAAACACCGAAGACGTTGCGCGCGTGTGTCGCGATATTGTCATTAAGTATATCAAGGAGCGCACGCGGTTGCCCGAGCAGCCTCATATTCTCCAATTCAGCTCGGAAGATCGTATGACCAAATATGAGATCTGCGAGAAGTTCGCGGAGGTACTCGGGCTACCCCTGGATAGGATGATCAGGAATAAGCAAGGGAACGAGCCTGGTGGAGTACAAAGACCCTACGATACTCATCTATCGACCAAGGGACTCAAAGACCTCGGAATTGATGTCCGGACTACGGATTTTGTCGCGTGGTGGTAAGTCGATATTAGGATCGTCAGTGGCGCATGAAGCTAATGCGGAGTACCAGGCGGAAACATCTGGGCGCATACAAGAGATAAGCCACTGCGCTGAGCGTTTTTCGATCACACTTAGGACTTGTTTGTGGAGAAAGAAGAGATGTCTGTGTGTGTACGGGTACTAGAGTATGACGCAGAGATCGCGTACTGGGAAAAAAA